GCACTGTCTCAGAGACTAGCTCTCTACCACTTTGAGCCATAGCGTCACTTCTGGTTTTCTGGTGGTTACTTGGAGATAGTCTCACAGACTTTCCTACCCTGGCTTCAAACCAAGATCTTTAGACCTCAGCCTCCTGAATAGCTAGGATTTCAGTCATGAGTCACTGGTTCTTGGCTACATATAATCTTTTCTTTTCTTTTCTTTTTAATGGCTAAATGGTTCCTTTATTTCTGAGGAGGTTTTTTTAAACTGGTTCTGTAGTTCTGTCTTTTTCTTAAGGTATTATGAAGAAGGGTTAACATTTCCTAAGTCAGGTAATGAGTATATTTCTTTTGTTTCTTTTCTTTTTGGGACAATATTACCCCTTCTTTCTCTTGCTCCCTCAGCTTTCCCCCAATATAATGTTTTTTTTATGGTACTTACTTCAGAAAGTTTGAAAAGATATAAATTTATTCTTCCACGTTTTATTTATATATTGGAAAACATTTGTCATCCTAATTTCTCCCTCTTGCATTCTTTGCTTTTTCCCTTTCTTCCCACTGGGATTAAGAAAGGTAAAAATGAGAGACAGAAGCTATGCACTGGCGGCTCAAATTTGTAATCCTAGCTACTCAGGAGGCTGAGATCTGAGGATCACAGTCAAAGCCAGCCAGGGTAGGAAAGTTCATGCCGCTCTTACCTCCAATTAACCAGCAAGAAGATGCAAGTAGAGCTGTGTTTCCAATGGTAGAGAACCAATATTGAGTGAAAATGCTCAGGAACAGCAACCAGGCTGAGTTCAAGTGGAGGAGGAGGAGGAGAAGAAGGAGGAAGAGGAGAGGAAGAAGAAGAAAGAGGAGGAGGAAGAAGAAGGGGAGGGGGAGTAAAAGAGGAGGGGAAAAGGGATGGGGGAGGGGAAGGAGAGAGGAAGGGGAAAATGGGGGAGGAGGAAGGAAGAAGGAAAAAGGAGAAGGAGAAACCTCATAATAGTCTCTATTATACAGTTATTGTTGCCAGGAGGATTAAATAAATCAAATGCTCTTCATATTACTCATCTCTACCACAAAGAGTGCACCCTATAAATGTAAAATGAAGTTAACATTATGCAATAAAAGAGAAAACATATTGTAGATTACTTTAAAGGCTTTAAAATTCAGGTTGGAGATGTGGCTCAGGTGGCACCAGCCAGTGAGTAAAAATCAAAATAAGTGTCAGAAAGCAAGTTCAAGTCCCAGTTTGGAACAACAAAAAAAAAAAAGTTGAAAATGTTGTCAGCAAATCCTTGTCCCCTCTCCACAAGACCAGGCTTCTTAGTGACAATTGTGACAAACATACCAGTTAACGTATAACAATTCAAATTCTGTGTCACAACAGATTCCATGCTGGGCACTAGTGGCTCACACCTGTAATCCTAGCTACTGAGGAGGCTGCATTTTAAGGATCACAGTTTAAAGCCACCCAAGGCAGAAAAGTCCTTGAGATTCTTTTTTTTGCGAGGGGGGCGGGGAGGGAGTCCGGTCGTGGGGCCTGAACTCTGGGCCTGGGCACTGTCCCTCAGCTCTTCAGCTCAAGGCTAGCGCTCTACCACTTGAGCCACAGCGCCACTTCTG